AACACTTCCATAGTCCCTTTCAACTCTGTTAGTCTATTATTCTATTTCAGAAAGAGAAGTATGTCCTGGTGGCAAGCTGAATCATTTAGTCTCTGCTTTTGCAGGGTCTCTCTTTGGAATTGGCTTCAAGCATGCTTTCCAAAGGACGTAGCCCTCATCTCTTTGGTTGGGTTGACACCAAGAACCTATGCTTCTAATTATGACATTCCTTCAAAGAGATAGTAAGATCAGCCTCTGAAGAAATTGCTCTAATACCATGATACAAAAATGGGAGCTGATGGAAATAGTTCTACAAGGAAGCAAACCAGAAGAACTCCTTCATCCGTAACCCCTAGGAGCTTACAATATGAAGTGCATGAACCACACTGCATAATGTTCCAGCGCAGCGTGTTTCCCTTTTGGGTCACGCTATGTGCCTTGAAAGACAGCTCACTCCAATGGCCTTGTAACTAAGGACAAAACTGTTTCATCTCAATATATCACCAGAGCTTGTGAAGGCCTATCCACTATGATGGAGATGCAATTGGGACACTATGGTCACTCTTGAGATTTCATCATCACTCCTTCACGAAAAATACAAGTGAGAAATTACCACTAATTTTGTATTATTATTTGGCAGTTCAAATCTCACCAGGCTCAAGGTTGACTCTGCCTTCCATTCTTCCGAGATCGGTAAAATGAGGACCCAGATTGTTGGGGGGAAAATGCTGACTCTGTAAACAGCTTAGAGAGGGCTGTAAAGCACTGTGAAGTGGTATATAAGTCTAAGTGCTATTGCTATTATGATATACACATATTTCTTTTATTTGCCATGGCACTGTGGAGATCTTTGCATTCACTTGCATCTTTGGAGCAGATCAAAAACCTCAAGTTAATGGCCATAATTGTGCAAATGAAGACCCGCATGACATATAACCATTGTATGGACTTTTAGCTACATGTCTGCAGCCAAGAGTTTTTGACCTGCCCCCCCCTCTTACAGATGCCCTTTTCATTTCAGAAATCGGTAAAACTGAAAGAAATCACCCACCATGTTTGGGGTACCTCACGTTTCATGCTAACTGAGAACAACAATGCCATATCTGCTAATCATGAGGAAATACAGGCAGTGGAAATAGAATAGGGTACCCACTCCCACCAGATTTAATTAAATGGAGAAAGGCAGGAAGAGAATTTTGCTGCACTATCTGAAGATTACTCCAAAGTCAACTTCTTCATCACTAATTCATCCAAGAAGGCTTCTCAGATACACAATAACATTACCAACATGCCTACTGGGGGATTCTGGATGTTGAAGTCCACATATTTTAATATTGCCAGCTTCAAAAAAAACACTGCTCTAGCCTGTGATAGACTGAAGAAAAGTCATTTCAAGTTAAACATGATCCATATATTCTGTGCTTTGCCCTCCCAGGCAATATTTGTGCATTTTTCTCTTTACAAATTTCCCCATAACAATCTGCATCTTTAAAGATAGAACAGAACAGAACAGAACAGAAGAGTGCGTGTGATTGGACACACAAGGAATTTGTCTTTGGTGGATATGCTCTCAGCGTACATAAAAAGACAAGATACACTCATCAAGAAACACAAGGCACAATAGCCAGTGATACATAGGAATATAGACGTACAGATTAGCTATATTTGTTCATAATACAAGAACCATGCTGGAAATGTCATCTTCCTTCTGGCCAACTCTTTACATGTGTACAAGTGAGCAGTAGGTTGTGTTTCTTGAAGGATATCCACGTTGCACTTAGTCAGAGGCACACTGCTGCTTGAGAAGCTTCAGGTGTCCATGTCTCTTTCACTAACTGTTTCACCATTGGTGATAAGGCAATAGCATTGCTCGGATCCAGCTGTGAAACATGTCCATGCATAATCACGCTCTCTTCAAGAATGTCCTTGCACACGTGAACTTTTTTTTTCTGTTTTGAAATTAACGTCTGTCCATGCTCACTTCTCCTTTTTTGGAGGGGGGTCAATTGCAGCCCTTTCTTGCTCCACCTCTGCCTTGTAGGTGGACCATTATAAAAGAGGACTGTAGAAGCAGAAGGACAGAAGAAGACGGAAGGCTGAGAATCCATCTCTTCTTCGAGATCCCATTCAGGTGAGTCTAAGACCAGAGAAGGCTAAAATGAAGCAATGATGTTCTTAGGGAGATTTTGATTCCCACTGCACTGGATTAGACTTTTCTTTTCTTTTTCTTTTTTTGAAATAATTTTTATTACAATTTTCCTTTACACAACTCTAGTACATAATCAACAGACTGTGTCATTTTTGTATACTTCGGATCAACATTCCATACAATATATACATTATATACATTCCATATCTAGTCCTCAATAGCCTTATGTATATTTCCAATTTTTATTTCTATTATCTATCCAGGTATACCATTTTTCCCAAACTGCATAATATTCCGAATCATCTTTTTCTTTTAATTCTAGGGTCAGTTTATCCATTTCGGCACAGTCTGAATGATCAATCCCTCTGGTGGTGTATTGCGTTCCTTCCAATATTGCACAAACGCAATTCTTGCCGCTGTTAATATGTGTAAAATCAAATATCTTATCTTTCTATCAAATTTTGTTTTAAGTATTCCCAGGAGAAATGTTTCCGTTTCCGGGTTTAGTTCTATTTGACATTTTATTATCTCTTGTAGCCATCCTTGTATATTAGTTCAGTACTTTTTTGCTTCAGGACACAGCCACCAAGCATGAAAGAAGGTACCTTGATGTTGGTTACATTCCCAACATTTTGGGCTTAAATTCTAGTAAATTTTAGCCAGCCTTGCTGGGGCTAGGTGCCAACAATAAAGCATTTTGTATTGATTTTCCTTATAAGCAGCGGATTTTGTTACAGTGTAATTTTTGTTCCAAATTCTTTCCCAATCCTCTAAATCTAAATTATGCCCTATGTTTTTAGCCCATGCAATCATTGGTTCTTTCACCACCTCCTCTACTCTATTAAATTCTAATAGATAATTGTATATGTTGGATATTAATTTTCCTTCGGGGCCTATCAACAATTTGTCTAGTTGTTTTGGTTCCGTGTCAATTCCATATTCTTCCACGTTTTTCTTGTACCTTTATTGCAGTTGTAAATATGGCCACCAACCCTGTTCCTTTAGTATCTGATTGTTTTTCAGCTTCCCCTGTTTATCTAAAATTTCTGAATATCTGGGCATTTTGCTTATATCTAATGTGTTGGGGTGGATCATTGCTTCCATGGTGGATAACCAACCAGGGATTTTCATGTAATGTTTTTTCCTTATATCCTCCCAAATTTGTAACAACATTGTGTCTATAGACACAATGTATTTTGTGTCTATAGAAATATGAGTGTGTCCTATTCCCTTTATCCCACATAAAGGCATGCCACACTTTTTGCAGATCGTGTCCTTCCTGTGTTAAGATTCTTCTGTTGTTTAAATTCACCCAATCCCTTATTCAAACCAGAGTTGCTGCCTTGTGGTAAAATTCCCACGCTGGGAGTCCAAAGCCCCCCCTACTTCTGCTATCTTGAAGAGAGAGTAGTTTTATTCTTGCCTTCTTTCCTGATCAAACAATTTTGTAGTAATTAAGTTCTCTGAAAAACTTCCTATCTAATGATATGAGAATTGTCTGAAATAAGTATAATAATTTGGGAAAGATGGTCGCTATCCTACCTAAAAGCGATAGTTGAAGCATCCCCCATTTTTCCAAATCTTCTTTATTTGTTGGACTAATATGTAATTATCCTCCTTTAGGGACGTACATCTTGCCATTAATCATATCCCTAAGTATATATTTTTTTTTACAATTTTTAAATCCATTTCCTTTTCTAATTCTTTTTTCTGAATTGTTGTTAAGTTTTTAACTATCATTTTGATTAATTTTAAGTCCAGATATTTCCCCATATTTTTCTATTTCTCGTATTAGAATAGGACTGGATTCCAGAGGTTCCTCAATAATGAATACCATGTCGTCCGCAAAAGCCTGTGCTTTGTACTCTTCTCTTTTAATTTTTGTTCCCTTTATTTCTCAGTTTGCTCTGATTCTATTTAGTAAAATTTCTAACATTAAAATAAAGAGAAGTGGCAACAGTGGACATCCCTGACGCATACTCTTGATTATCTGAAATGTGTTGATGGTGTCCCCGTTTAATATTACCCTTGCCTTCTGCATCATATATATTGCCGCTATCATATTTTCGAATTTACTTCCCAGTTTCATGGATCTAATTTGCCTAATCATGAATTGCCAGTTTAGATTATCAAAAGCCTTTTGGGCATCCAGAAAAACAAGAGCCACTTGTTTCCCTCGGTGGGCTTCATAATATTCCAGTATGTCTACTATTATTCTTGTGTTATCTCTTATTTGTCTGTTTGGAAGGAAGGCATTTTGATCTGGGTGTATAGTCTCATTCAATACTCTTTTCAGACTTTCTGCTATTATATTCATGAATATTTTGTAATTGGCATTTAAGAGTGATATTGGTCTGTAATTTCTGATTTGATTTTTATCTGTACCTTCTTTCGAGATTAAGGTGTTGTATGCCTCCCTCCATGATTCCGGTATTTTTGCTTCGCATAGTGCTTCATTACATATCTCCAACAATACTGGTTCTATAATCTCACTCATTTTTTTGTAGACTTCCCCTGGGAGGCCGTCCGGTCATGGTGTCTTATTGTTCTTAAGCCTTAGGATTGCCCCTCTCAATTCTTCTGGTGTTATTTCTCTATTTAGCATGGTCCTTTTTTCCTCCTCTAGTGGTGTAATCCCTTCTTCCAACAAATAATTATCAATTTTATCCTTTGCTATTTCCTTTTGTTTATAAAGATTCACATAATAATAACTGTAGAAGCAGAATTCCCTAATTTTGGCAACATGGAAAGTCAAGGATTTTTCATAATAGCTAACATAGAAGGTTCCCTTTCAGTGTTAGATATTTCAACCCCTGGTTTCACATGGAGATATTCATGCATCTTCTCCTTTTTTTCTGTGACAGAGCTGATCATGCTGTTCAAGGGTTTTGGCCTTGGGCTCTTCATAGTCCTGGCTGCTGTCCTGATGCTGGGCAGTGTTGCTGCTGACTATGAAAAATTCCTGAGGCAGCACTACGATAATCCCATGAGCAATGTTGGAGATCATTACTGTAATAAAATGATGCAAAGGCGCGGAATGACCAGCCCCAAATGTAAGGAGGTCAACACCTTCATCCATGACACAAAGAACAAAATCATTGCTGTGTGTGGGGATGGTGGAGAAGCCATTGACAACGGATTGCGGCGTAGCAAGAACCAGTTCCGGGTCACCACCTGTAAGATGAAAGGATCATCCACCAAACCTCCTTGTGATTACAGGGAAAACACGTCACCCAGATATATTGTCATTGCTTGTGAGAACGGATTTCCTGTGCACTACGAGGAAGGTCAGATTTAACAGTATTTGAAGATGATACGAATTGATCGGATGGAGACTCCCTCAAGATGGCTTCTCTTCTATGGGAAAAAAAATCTCATTTTCTGCTGATTCTGTGGCTCATTTCCTGGACTCTTTTTCATGATCTGTGCTCAGTTGTGACCATTGTAATCTATCTAGATATTCACCCTGCTTTTCTTTTTTCTCTTTATTCTATAGCCAGCACAAAACCAAAACTCTGAATATCCTAAATTTTACATAAACCAGCAATAATATATCTGCCAAATGCTTTGAAATGAATGATTAAAAATAAACAAAAAAATGCATTACATCTCTGTTCTTTGTGTAGCTTCATTTCATTTTAAATAATTTTGCTTTTTTCAAGGAAGGAATGACCAGATTCATCCTGCATTAACCTGACTAAAATTTCTGCTCTTTTAAAATTGTTCTTACTTCATTCTCTCTGAACACATCAGGGCCACTAAGCAGTGGGAAGCTCTGCCCACTTGCCCAGATGTCTCTGAGCACGTGCAGAAACATTGTGTACACCTACGAGCAGCAGCTTTAATATAGAACACTTGAGCTAAGCCACAGCTAGTCTCCTTCCTGTCTCCTTCTTGCTCACACAGCAAATACTGTTTCACTTTCCAAACAGCCCTCTGATACTAAGGAGTTCTACTCCCCCACCCCACCTCAAAAGAGATCTGTTCCAAATGCAAAACACAAGCAGAGGAGAGGACTTTCAGTTTCAGTTTTATTTTCACAGCAGCAAACAGCTTTACTACAGAAGAATTGAGCTAAACCATGCCCAGCATCCTTCCTGTCTCCTTCTTGCTCACACAGCAAATACTGTTTGAGTTTCCAAACACCCCTCAACTCTCTCACACACTGACAGGATGCTACCCAGATGAATACCGATGGATACTGCAGGCTAGGACATTCTACTCGCCTTCCCACTCTGTTCCAACTGCCAGTTGCATTATATTAACACGCTCTGATGCTACGGAGTTACACATTCTACATTAAGTTTCAGGCTGTAAGTGTCAATTTATCAAACCTGAGCATATAGTTTTGTAGCGAAGCACGGGCGTCCAGCTAGTATACTATACAATGCAGGGTTCCAGTGCAATGTATTTCCCTTTGGGTCACCATCTGTAATTTGATTTTCATTCCAATGGCCTTGTATCTAAAGACAGTTTAATCTCACTACATCATCAGAGCTGGTGATGACCTGCCATTATGATCATTATATACATATTATCTATACAGTATATCATTAGTAAGCTGCCTGTTGAAAAAGCACCTTTTGGGACAAGCCACTGAAAGTTTTCCAGGCTGTCATTTTCAGAATGACAAACATTGGTTTCAGAACTGTTTTCCCTTGGTGTTGAATGGAAGGGCTCTTCAAACATCCCTGAATTGGCAAAAGCCTCTACAATGTAATATTGTGTGGCAATGACCTTGGGAGACAGAAGGAACAGCCACAGACAGGGCAACAGTCAGATAAGAGGCAGCTGAGTCAACAGAAGGAATAGGGGCAAGACAAACTTCTTAAAAAGTTCATTGGATTGTAAGGGTGAGAGAGGGGAGGTGTACTTTCACACTTGCAAAGTACATTTAAAGTAAACTTACAATAAAGTTAGAGATATTATTCCTGGGTTTGCTTCTTATCTGGCCTACCTGGCAAGGCTGACAAAAAATGTCTCTCTTCCTTGGAACCTTTTACCCAGCCTTTTCTCCCTCTTTATTCCTTCTAGTCACTGCATTCCTCTGATTTCTCTCCCAAAAATAGATTTAGATCCTCTGTGGCTATTCTTGGATTGGATCAGAATTAAGGGGGAAATACTCCTTTAATATTAGGTACTCCAAGGACAACTTAAGTCTATCACACTCATGAGCTTGGCAGGAGTGAAATCGAGATCATGAGGAAAGTGCTGTCATCCCTTTAGCGTAGTACAAGATCTACAAAGGAAGTACCTTAGAATGTAACCCAAGTTTTTTTTTTTTAAAAAGGTAACATTTCTATATATTCAGTAGCCTAACCCAGTTCAAAATCTTCCATAAGAAAATCATCTCCACATCTTAGCCTTCTCTAGTCTTAGAGTCATCTGAACGAGATCTTGTGGAAGAAATGGGTTGTCAACCTTCTGACTTCATCTGTCCTTCTGCCCAAGGAGCCCATTGTGTAAATGTTCACCTAGCTAGTGAGAGGGGAGCAGGAAAGAACTGCAAGTGACCCCCTTCTCCAAAAAAGAGGAAGTGAGCATGGACAGAGGTTCATTTCAAAAGAGAAAAAAAATGTCCACGTGATGCAAGGACATTCTGGAAGAGGGCATGTTTCTTCATGAACGTATTTCACAGCTGGATTCAAGCAATGCTGTTCCCTTATCATCACTGCCGAAACCACAATTAAAAGAGACATCAATGCCCAAGGAAGAGCAGAGTGCCTCTAAGTAAGGGCAATGTGGAAGTCCTTCAGGAAACAAGAACTAGCGCTCATTTGTACAAATCTGAAGATTTGGCCAAGAACAAGATGTGATTTCCAGCATGGTTCTTGAAAACGTGGTTCTTTGTTTTAAAAAAAAAACAAGTACAACTAATTTGCACAGGTATATTTGTGTGTAGTGAATCACACTTTTAAGTTCATTTCTGTTTGTGAGGGGGAAAAGGTCTGTCCACTCTGATGGAGATGCAATTGTGACACTGTGGTAACTCTTGAGACCTGGCTGAGATTTCATAAACACTCCTCCATGGAAAAGATTCATGGGGAGGAGGAGGACTCCTTTGATATTATTATGATATACTCACATTTTTAAATTATATTTTTGCTTTGCCATGACATACTAGAATTCTTTGCATTCCCCTGCATCCTTGGAGTCAGTGTCAACCCCCCCACCCCAAGACAGTGTCCACAACTGTGCAAATTAAGACTTGCATGACCTACAAGAGATTGGACAACCATTTGTCTGAAATGGTATAGGGGCTCTTGCTTGAGCAGGGGGGGTTGGACTAGAAGACCTCCAAGGTCCCTTACAACTCTGATGATGATGGTGGTAGTGGTGGCAACCTTGGATAGACTTTTAGTCACATGTTTCCAGCCATGAATGTGACTTTTTTGACAACTCCCTCCCACACAGATGCCCCCGTTTGTTTCAGAAATCCTGATAGAGGATTAAGCACAAAAGATTTGTAACCAATCAATACACTTTCTGTAATTGTAATGGATGATAATTGTTTTATGCTTTAAGTTTTGTTTAAAAATAAAAAAAAAATTCCCCCCCCAAAAAAATCAGTAAAACTGAAAAAAAACAAAAACAAAACTACCCACTATATTTGGGGGCTATCTCACCTTTAACTAAATGAGGACAACAATGCCACATCTGCTGATCATGATGAAATAGATGTCAGCCCCACTTTGCCGGGGCTGTCATTCTGGCGGGGATGGAGACAAACAAAGCATGCCGCCCCTCGTTCCAGTACTGAAAATCTTGCCTTAACGCCACCTGCTTCCTCCTGAATTTGGCTGGTGGGACCCTCTTCCGATCACTATTTTCGGGGTCTCCATTTCTTCTGGCACTGTCAGATGCATTGCCGCCTCTCAGCTGAGAGGTGGACGGAGCCATGCCTGCGCAGACGCCAAGCTGACTACATTAGCCAACATTAATGGGGGCTTCCCGAACCCGATGTCCCTGGACTACTTGCAACTAATTACTAGCCAGAGGAAGCAGCTGGAACCCTCCAATCGGCGCTAGGGTTTGGGGTGGAGTAGCGGGGTGGGGTGCACTGGGTTTAAAAATGGTGATGGGAGCACGTATGGTTAGAGCTGACAATATTTCACTGAAACTGCACTGGGTGATTGTTGGAGCGTGCCGAATTGCAGAAGGTAAAACTTTACTACAACCTCCAGCTTGTTGTCTGGTGTTTCCTTTCCCATCCTGATTCGGAAACGGACAATAGAGACAGTGAAGACAGAACTGGGTCTCCAGCCCCCCCCTCCAACCCATTTCAGTGAAGGGTGAAAAGCAGGTAGAATTTTGACTTTTGCTGCAATATGTTGAAGATTTCCAAGGTCAACTTCTTCATCACTAATTCATCCAGGAATGATTCTCAGAGACATTATATATCATTACCAACTGGCTGTGGAATTCTGGGAGTTGAAGTCCATATATTTTAATGTTGTCAATTTCAAAACACACTGCTCTGCAGCCTGTGAAAGACTGAGGAAAGGTCATTTAATGGTAAAGGTGCTGTATACGTTTTGTGCTTGGCCTTACCAGGGAATAGTTGTTTTCAGCTTGTTTGTTTTACACTTCAGAGGCGAAGAGCATTGTGAGAGGGAGTAAACCATGTTAAAATGGCTAGAAAGCAGGAGGTTGTTGCTAAATTCCCGGTTAAATATGGGCTGAAGCGAGACAATCGGTACAACACTATTTTATTAACGAACGGCAGAACTGAATGAACAGCAACAAAAGCCTGACAGTGTTTATATATGCCGGCTGTCAAACCCAACCACCAATCAACTGGCACCCTTGTGGCTGCTTCTGCATCAGCCAATCAGGGAACGGCACCTCCGTTGTTAGGTAATGTGCTGAACACAACACCCCTTCAGCCCTGGTTGGTGCACACGTAATCTTTCAAGTAAGACAGACGCGTGTGCACTCGGCTTGATCATCTCAACACAGGAACAGCTGGCTGCTGGGTCGGTTCCTCAGTGGCCGGTGGACAGGCTGGTGGATCTTCCAGGACAGCCGCTGTGTCTGCAGATGCAGACACATACGGTAAGCATAATGAAGGTTGTTTCGGGCCAGGGGCATCGGACAGAGGAATGATAACTGGTGCTGATAACTGCAGGTGCTCGTCCTGGTGCGCCGGGGAAGCACCAGGTGCGTTAGTTAGGCTTTGGGGCAGTTTGGCCGCACAATTGATCCACATGTCACCATCGTCAAGCTGGATTCTGTAAGAGTAGGGACCTGTTATATGAGTCACTTGCCTTGGCAGGCAACACGGTTCACCCCCATAATTCTGCGTGAACACCAGGTCTCCCACCTTAAATGCCCGAGGTGTCTGACATCCAACCGGAGTGCTTTCCAGTGCATATGTGAGATGTAGCCAGTCCGACATAGTTCGCAGGCGGCGACCCATAAGCAATTCCGCTGGACTTCTGTTTGTGGTAGAGCACGGTGTTGTGTGCTGCGCCAACAGGTAAACAGCCATTTTCTTTGGCCAATCGGCGGGTTTAAGTCAGGCCAGCGTCTCCTTGACAGATCTCACCGCCCGTTCGACCAAATCATTTCCCGCAGGATGAAACGGTGCTACCTGAGCATGGCAGAT